CAAGGACAAAGAATACACAGTCCTCTGAGTTAAAGTTTGTATGGAATATTGTGGGAAAGAAGCTAAACACTAACATCAGGCCACTGAAGTTAGACCTACTGACTCCCACTGGGGCTTACCACTTAAAGCCCAAACAAAGGTAACCCCTGAGGCATGGCTGTCATTTGTTAAACAATGGCCATTGCTAACTTGCCGTATTATTAACCAGGTCCTTGAGGACAAAATAAAGCCTCCCAATTGTGCATTATGCCCTGAACAGACCCCTGTCCCAGAACCAGGACAACTGTCACTAGTTAAGCATGGAATATCACTGAGCCTCATTTGCATACCTAATGAGCCTACAGTTTTTCAAAAGAGGCTCTTGTGCCAGAAGGAGCTGTCTACACTGCCCCTTCTTGTGCAAGAAAAACCCTCTTGTGCAATGCCTCTACACCAATTATTTTCAGTAATTATGGCATTGCACAAGAGGGTTTTTCTTGCACAAGAAGGGGCAGTGTAGACAGCTCCTTCTGGCACAAGAGCCTCTTTTGAAAAACTGGGGGCACATTAGGTATGCAAATGAGGCTCAGTGATATTCCATGCTTAATCTCATTTGCATATTTCTTGCGCAAGAAGTCACGAGTGTAGACATAGCCTTAGAGTGATGCTGCAGTATGTACTTTAAGAGTCAGAAACAGAACTGCCTATAGGGTTTGTGAATATCTGTGGGGAATTTAAAGCATCTAAGTACCTTCTGTGAATCTAGCCAGTAGTTCCTATGTCACTTAGGGCTTTTTAGATCTGCTTAATCACAGACTGTGTCTACACTGGCGTGATCTTGCGTAAAAGCACCCGCTCTTGCGCAAAAACTTGCTGCCTGTCTACACTAGCTGCGTATTCATGCGCAAGTAAACTGACGTTCTAACGTATAAAATCAGGGCTTCTTGTGCCAGAACTCTGACGCTCCCGCTCAGGAATAAGCCCTCCTGCGCAAGAGCTCTTCCAGAAAAGGCCAGTGTAGACAGGCAACATGAATTTCTTGCGCAAGAAAGCCCTATGGTTAAAATGGCCATCAGAGCTTTCTTGCGCAAGAGAGCGTCTACACTGGCATGGACGCTCCTGCGCCAAAGCACATCTCTTGCGCAAAAGCACATGCCAGAGTAGATGCTCTCTTCTGGAAGAGTTTTTGCAGAAGAACTCTTCTGCAAAAGAGTTTTTGCGTGAGAACGTGCCAGTGTAGACGTAGCCTTAAGAGTATGTCTCCACTACAGCGTTATTTGAAATATCTTATTTCAAAATAGTTAATTCGAACTAACACATCTACACACAAAATGCATTTCAAAATAGCATTTTGCTATTTCAAAATAGTGCATCCACACTGAGTGGACGCTGAATCGCATTTAAGGCCGCCGGAACCAGGTCCGGCAGGGAATCAGGTCAGGAGTTACTTTGTGTAGCTGCTGCCTGAGGCTATCTGAGGCCTGTGCGTAAAGGGACCCCCCCCCCCCCGGACCGCCGACAGCCGGTTCTCAGGTTTCGGCCTAAAGGGCCCCCCCCCCCAGGACAGCCGGTTCTCAGCTTTCCCTGCTTGCTTGCCTACCTCGATGAGAGACAGCAAAGCATTTTGTCTCTGCACACTCTGGTTGCCCTCATGCAGGATACCACAGCACTCTGCAACAGGGAGCCAGAGCTGCCCCTGGGCACTCTGGTGCTTCTCGTGGATGCATTGCTGTGAGCCTGCCTGCAGTTTCTGCAGGCTGTCATCCGGGAGGTCCATCAGGGGGTTGTCAGTATCCAGGAGGCCCTGTGGGAGAGCTTCCATTCTGAGGAGCACTAAGAGCCTCCCTGGTCTGCCCCACTGGAGGCTTGTGCCGCATTCCTCCCTCACGTCCTTCCACATATCCCTCCCTAATCCCTATTCCTTATGTCAAATAAAATATATGTATTTTCATGAACACAAACTCTCTCTAGTTAACAAAACTGGGCGGGAGAGAATGCACCTCTGGTGAGACTGGGGAAAGGAGACAGGAGAGGGGAGAAGAGAGGGTGGGAGAGGGGAGGAGGAAACCTGGAAGGAGGGAACTGGAAGGGGGAAACAAGGAGAAGAGAAAGCTTAGGGTTGGGGGTCTCGCCGGACCAACTTGATTTTCATTCAAACCTGCTCCTGGGTTCGCATGTGGTGGCCAGGCTGGCAGCTATCCTGCCATAGATGGCCACATTCCTCCATCTAGTGCAGAGATCACGGATGTTGGGGGCATCCCCCACAAACCTGAATAAGGTCTATGATCTCCACCCTGGACCAGGAAGGTGCCCGCCTTCTCCGGGCCCTGGCAGGCTCCTGGGAGCTGGCAGACTGCTCCTGGGGAGTAGTGGAGGGCTGGCTGCCAGTGGCTTGTTGGCTCATGTTTTGGGGCCACAGGGCCACATGTTTTGGGGCCAGTAACTGTTGGCTCTAAGCTGGCAGGCTTAGAGCTGGCACACGCACTGTGGCCAGAGTCAACCCCTTTAAGGGCTCCGGGAAGGGGGGAGGGAGAGAAGTGTTCTTGGTTGAGGCTGGAGTGGCCACAAGGACACCTTGGGAAGGCTGGAGGTCCCCTATTTTGAAATAAGTGTCTATACAGTGCTTATTTTGAAATAGTTATTTCAAATTTGGCATTGTTTCTCGTGGAATGAGGTTTACAAATTCGAAATAAGCGCTCCACTATTTCAAATTAATTTCGAAATAGCGGTTTGGCTGTATAGACACTAGTAAAGTTATTTTCAAATAAGGGCTGTTATTTTGAAATTCCTTTGCTCTGTAGACATACCCTAAGCAACTAAGCAACAGTTATTAAAAGATGACAAATACCTTGATGTCCTTTTAGCTGCAGGTGGGTCCAAAATATAAAATTTGGCTCTGAGACAAATTTCCCAGAATTTGATGGTATTCATCTTCAGAAATCTGTTATAGGAGAGAGTTGCAAAACTGAGATCCAGATATGGATCCGAGTGGCTTAAATGTCTGTACCTAGGACTTTCTTGAGACCTCTCTTATTACATATTTGGTAATCCGACCATGTGTCAGTCCCATTTAGGTCGGATGATAGAGACTCTACTGTACCTTTTAACAGTAAGATGTGGGATATTGGTGAATGGGATCCAATGTTTTTCTTCAAGACAGCACCACACTTTAGTATACTGTTCCCTTAGTCCTTTGGACATTGCCGACATAAGCAGTCAGGTTCAGTCCCACTGATTTCTCCTTATCAAGTCACACCAGGAGGCTGGAAATGAAGTCAGTGGAGCTACTCAGGGTAGGAAGCACCACCGGGGTATTGTCCGCGGGACACCGGCCCCCAATGGGACAGTTTGGGTCCAACACTGAGATTCTCAAACTCCCCATCCCTGGAGGCCGGTGTAGTCAAAAAGTGAAACTTCTCAGTTTTTGGGTCGCTGCACCGGCGGCGGAAAACCAGGAGGCCGGGTGATGCGGAGGAGGGGACCAGGCGGCGCGACTGCAGTGGAATATCGGTGCCCCCGTGAGCCAGGCTGTGTGTGAGGGGCGCGTCCGGTGGGCAGGGCCTAATGCGGAAGGGGCTAGCCTACCGGAAAGGGCCCGGGAGCCGGCGGGAGGGGCCCGGCGGGAGCGGAGCAGCGGCAGCGGGGTGAACAGCTTCTTAGGCGGGGCACGAGGCCGGCTCAGCAGGGGCCAGGGCGCCCGTGAACGCTTCGGGCAGAGCGCGCGGCTTGGGCCTGGTGAACCCTGGGGGAGGCTGCGCCACGACCCCCCGGCTCGTTATCCTGGCGTCATGACCGTTGTTCCCCACTAACGGTTACTGAGCGCGCTCGCTAAGGTCTCCTAAGCCTCGCCCTGGCTGCCCTCAGAACACCTGCTGGAAGGCGAGAAGGGGGCGGATGGAGCGGGCAGGAGCTGCGGGCAGCGAAGGAGGGGAGGGGGTTGGCAGGGGGGGGATCCTGCAGCGGGGGTTGAAGTTGCCGTGGAGGGGGTGAGCCACAGGACAGGGCATGGACGGCAGAGAGGCAGCCACTTCTGGCCGGCTGTGCTGCCCCCACGGGGCTAGCGGGCCTGGAGGG